ACAATGTAAAGGTATATTTATGGTGGTATTCTTTCGTTGAATGAAAAAACTTTGGACTTTTTTAAAATTTTGGACGCTGCAGATAACCTTCATCTTCAAGAACTAATTGATTATTTACAAAAATCTTTAATTGAAGATAAGCCAGAGTGGATAGAACAAAATTTCGGATTAACTCATCAAATTAGTTCAAAATCTAATAATTTATTAGAGCTTCAAGAATATTGTTCAAATATAATGGCTCAATATCCTGAAAAAATATTTAATTCATTTGATTTTATTTTACTTTCTGAAGATTCTTTAGTTTCACTTATTAAAAGAGATGATTTACAAATGAAAGAAATTGAAGTATGGGAACAAGTAGTAAAATGGGGACTTGCACAAAATCCAACTCTCACTCTAGATCCTAAAACTTGGTCAGATAATGATTTCGAAACAATGAAAAATACTTTACAAAACTGTTTGCCTTTAATTAGATTTTTCAGTTTATCATCTAGAGAGTTCTCACAAAAAGTTCGACCATATCAAAAACTCTTGGATCAACAACAATATGAAGAATTATTAAGTTCTTATTTGGATCCCGATAGTGTATTCAATATCAATATTTTACGACCAAGAAAAATCAAGATTAAAGAAATTAAAATTGATGATTCCCAAATTATTGATTCAAAAATTGATGATTCTCAAATTATTGATTCAAAAATTAACGATTCTCAAATTATTGATTCAAAAATTGTTGATTCAAAAACTGATGATTCTCAAATTATTGATTCAAAAATTGTTGATTCTAATATGAGTTTAATTGTTTTAAAATGGATTGATAAAGTGGTTGTAAATGAAAGGGAATCGAATTCCAATATTTTTTCAACTATCTTAAAATGGATTGATAAAGTGGTTACAAATGATAGGGAATCGCATTATTATTTACCATATAAATTTAACTTAATATTAAGAGGAAGTCGAGACGGATTTACTCCTGAAAAATTTCACGAATTATGTGATGGTAAACATAATACTGTTACTTTTATTAAAATAAAAGGAAAAGAAGAAATATTCTGTGGATATAATCCTTTAAAATGGGAATCTACCAATAGTTATTATGGTAAAACTGCTGATAGAAATATGCATATTAAAAATATTATTAGTAAAGTAAAAGATAAAAATTATGCGATATTTTATAAATACGAACATGGTCCACAATTTGGTGGCGATATTGTTATGTCTTCCTCTAATGAATTTAAAGATTATGAGAAAATTTCTTATCAACAAGATGATTATGAAAGGAAATTAATAGATTCTGAAGGTGAGTTTTCTATGGAAGATTATGAAGTATTTCAGATAATTAAGAAATAATTTCCAAATTATGATTATATTATAAATTGTGAAAGTTTTAGTATATTATATACATTACGTTAGCTATATTTTTTTGTAAAATGAATTATTTTTATCTTTGATTAAACGTCAGTTTATATTTCATACTATTATATTTATAAAGGTATAATCAATTACAAATTTAATAATTATTCATGCAAAGAGTAATTAAAATGTTAAAATGTTGTATTGAAATTTTTGCGAGTATAAACTTTTTCAACGTAGGATCACGTGATTGGGTAATTAACATACGGTGGATTTTCTCTCAAAATCTTATTTTAAGATATTCCATCCCAACGGTCCTCCTATTCCGCTTTGGTTGATCTTGCATACTTCTAATTTTTTACATTCAGGAGGATGGTCGTCTCATATTCGACACCCTAGTGTTATTGAGTTTGAGTTAGATGATTTTTTTTTTACAATAGATCTTACTTTTTTTTCTCGCACTTTTTCTTTAATGGTTCCTTTTATTTCTAATTTGGTTACGCTATAGACTGCAGGCTATGCCTGGTGTGTTCTTCTAGAATAGCAGGCAGGGCGACTTCACTGGCTCCCCCAGTTGAGGTTGGGTACTTTCATGACATTGGGATTATTAGACTAGTAGTTTATGTTTTTTCCATTTATTTGTAAGACTCCAGTCGTGTCTAATTTGAAAAATAAAATAAATAAAATAAAATTATTTTAAGATATTCTGTTATATAATTCAGATACACAATTAATAAATTTAAACTTCCCTTTATTCAAAGGTGAAAAAAGATAATTAGAAACAGATGACAAATTCAGCGTTTGTACTACTGCGTGTCTGCGCGACTCATTAGGTTTCACTACAATTAAAATATCCATACAAGGAATGTATACCGTAATTAAAATAAGTAAATTTTAAACTTCATTAATTACAGAATATTTAAACCTTTTATAACCATTGATTTATAATCATAAAAATGTTCTTGTGAGTTATGAAGTTTATTAATAAACTACATTGAATTATTGTATAATAATTACTATTAAAATTTTATAATCGAAATTGTTGAAGATTCTCGTGTAAAATTTCTTTGCGCGCTTTTGTGCTGCCGTACTCAATATCTTCAAGAGCTAGTTGATGGAACAATATTTTGAATCTGTTTTATCGGATGCGAACAAGCCTTTAATTAAATTTTTTAAGAATTTTATACAAATTTATAGTAAAGGCCGCAAAGAAAATATTCAAGTCATTATTTAGATTCAATCCACTTTCTAAAAAATTTTTGTTTCAACTTATTAAGAATGATTTACAATTGAAGGATACACTTCTTCCTGATCATAATACTTATTCAGATAATGATTGTCCTAATTTTGAGCCGCAATTGGGCCGTGATTCTTTTATATAATCTTCCTCTGAATCTACAAATTATAATACCTGCCGTAAAAAGAATTTTCATAAAAAAAGTATAAGACAAAAAAATATTTTTTAATAAAAGATTATGATTTGTGAAGTATTATCACAAATTATAAGGAGATTTTATTTTTATACAAATTACTTATGGAAGTTGGATTCACGTAGTTGGCGCAGCTTACATCGTCTCACATTTCGCGCATGTGATTGAAAGTAGATAAGCGGGATATTTCATAATAGCGCTTACTATCATTTTATTTATCTTATATATAAGAGCGTTCCATTCGAACAACCTATACAGTACCTATAGTCTTAACCAAAATCATTTTCAAATTTAGCGGCAATATCACGTGATTGGGATTATAACTTCAAATAATGGTGATTTTGGCCAGCATCAATTTGGTTTATCGGTTGTAAATTTTTTCCGATCCGACAATTTGTTCGGCTAAATTTTACTAGAATCTCTTGTAAAGTGAAGTAGTTCTTTTATAAAAATGGACAATGAACTTAAAAATTTTTGTTCAACATTTCAACCAAATTATTCAAAATATTCAATAAATCATTGGAATCTTAAAAGATACATTATATTTGACGTAACGAATTTTAAATTTTAGGTTTTAGACTAATAAAATTTTGGTAAAAACAAGCCGCAGATTGGCGTAAATTAACGAAGATCTAATCACAACTATAAATTTTGTAACCGTTTTCCCACAATCAAAAAGTTGTTCTTTTTAACAAAAATGTCTATTAAATTTTTTACGAAATTAAGTCAAAATTATATTGAATTATTGAAAGATGATGAATACTATGATATAACAATTGAAGTTGGTGAAGACCCTAACGTAAAAATATTTCGTGCTCACATGAATGTTTTGTGTTATCGTTCTCCATATTTACGACGAATTTTGGCTTCCAATAAAAAAAAGAATAATGATAATGGTTTAGTTCATATTAAATTACCAAATATATCACCTGAAATATTTCAAATAATTTTAGAGTAAGTAACATATCCTATATTCCTATAAAGAATAATTTATAATTTTAATATTTTATTAAATTAATTTTTTTTTTTTTTAGATATATTTATGGCGGTATTATTTCGTTAAATATGAACGACGCTTCAGACTTTATTAAAGTTTTAGCCGCTGCAGATAAACTTCATCTTCAAGAATTAGTTAATTATTTACAAAATTATTTAATTGAAAATAAGTTCGAATTGTTGGAACAACATTTTGAATTTACTCAACAAATTAGTTCGCAATCTAATAATTTATTAGAACTTCAAGAATTTTGTACAAATTTAATGGCACGATCACCTGAAAAAATATTTAAATCACTTGATTTCACTTCACTTTCTGAAAAAGCTTTGATTTCACTTATTAAAAGAGATGATTTACAAATGAAAGAAATTGAAGTATGGGAATATGTATTAAAATGGGGTCTTGCAAAAAATCCAATTCTTATTCTAGATCCTGAAACTTGGTCAGATGATGATTTCAAAACGATGAAAAATACTTTAGGTCGTTGTTTGCCTTCAATTAGATTTTTTAGTTTATCATCTAGAGAATTTTCGCAAAAAGTTCGACCATATCAAAAACTCTTTGATCAACAATTATATGAAGAATTATTAAATTCTTATTTGGATCCTGGTAGTGTTTCAAATGACAACATTCTACGTCCAAGAAATATTAAGATTAATGAAATTAAAATTATTAATTCTCAAATTATCGATTCAAAAATCGTTGATTCTAATATTATTTCAACTGTTTCAAAACGGATTGATAAAATGACTAATAATGATGAAAATTATAAAAAATCATATTTACCATATAAATTTGAATTATTATTACGAGGAAGTCGAGATGGATTTACTCCTAAAAGATTTCATGAATTATGTGATGGTAAACCTAAAACTGTTACTTTTATTAAAGTAAAAGGAACTGAAGAAATTATTGGTGGATACAATCCTTTAATATGGGAAACTTCTCATATTTGGGGTGTAACTAAAAATAGTTTCATTTTTTCTTTTAAAAATAGATATGTAGTTATTAGCAAAGTAAAAAATTCAAATTATGCATTAGATTATAGTACTAAATGTGGTCCACAATTTGGTAGTGATCTTATCATAAATTCTTACAAAGATTCAAATTCAAATGAGTATACAAATTTTAATGTATCTTGCTGTAAAAAAAGGCATTATGAAAAAAGGATAAGAGATACTGAAAATAATTTTTCAATAGAAGATTATGAAGTATTTCAAATCATAAGGAAATAAATGTAATTAGTATTTATTGTTGGATGAAGTACTAGATAATTTTGTAGGTAATATTTATTTTATCTTTTCATTACAAAAAAAAAATTATAAAATTTTGAATCTTCTTTCTATACTTAGTTCAGACGATTATTAATCACATTTGCGGTCTTCGTTTTTTAAAGGTGAAACAAATATTCATTTATAAAAAGTAAGGTGATATGCCTAATACTGGTACAATTTTAAACTAAAGAGATGTCCTTAATAAATACAATTATTAAAATAGTTTTTTTTGATATTGAATTTTTTTTTTTTTAAAGAATAAGTTATTAAAAAGATGTAAAAATCTATTTATGTTAAGATAAATAAAAGGAAAAAGTTCGCTTTATAATTGATTAAATGATGTTTTTTTAATGAGGCTTATAATGTTCGCAAAATTTCAGACTTTAATAATAAAACTTAATGTCAACATTACGTAACTTCGGCCTGCTTTATGATGATTTCTAATGTTTAAATTATACGTAAATATTATACAAATATAACAATTTTTCCTGACTAGATAATTGTTTGTTTAAATTCACTAAAAAAATGGACAGTAAACTTTTAATTAAAATATCCAACAGACCATTAGAGTGAAACTTTATCTCGTAGCGAATTACTTAAAAACTCTAGATTATAGAAAATAGGGTCGTTCCAACTTGATTGTTTGTTTAACGTCCAGATTTCCTGAAAATTTCGGGGTTCATTAAAAAAACTAGATGAAATAAATATAATAAAACTTTGGAAATTTTGGGAAAACTCGGAAAATTTCAGAAAATTGTAATTAAATTTAGAGGGACATATAATTGAAACATATGTCATTATATGTTTATCAAAATTTAGATTTTTTAAAAAAAATAGAGGGAGTGGAGTACGTTAAACAAACAATCAAGTTATCAAGTTGGAACAGACTAATCAGCGTCTAAAAAATCAAAAATCAATCATTTGAAAATGACTAATCTTGGTGAGACAAGTCGTAGGTTGTGCAACAATTTAACGTAGTACATCATCAAATTGGTTAGTTTATAAAATAATTATAAATTTAGTTATTTTGACCTCTCACAAATTAAAACCTTATTCTTTTAAAAAAAAATGTCTACTCAATTTTTTACAAAATTAAGTCAAAATTACCTTGAATTATTGAAAGATGATAAATATTATGATACAACAATTGAAGTTGGTGAAGACCCTAACGTAAAAATATTTCGTACTCATAAGAATATTTTATGTTACCGTTCTCCATATTTACGACGAATTTTAGATTCCAATAACAGGAACAATAATACTAATGATTTAGTTCATATCAGGTTACCAAATATATCATCGGAAATATTTCAAATAATTTTAGAGTAAGTTATAAATATGACAACTAATATACTAATATACTATAAAACGGATAATATACAATTTCTAATATTTATTATACTTTTGTAATATAGGTATATTTATGGTGGTATTCTTCCGTTAAATATGAATGACACTTCTGACTTTCTTAAAGTTTTGGTCGCCGCAGATAACCTTCATCTTCAAGACTTAGTTGATTATTTACAAAAATATTTAGTTGAAAATAAGTCAGAGTGGATAGAACAACATTTTGGGTTTACACAACAAATTAGTTCGCAATCTAATAATTTATTAGTACTTCAAGAATTTTGTACAAATTTAATGGTTCAATCCCCTGATAAAATTCTTAAATCATTTGATTTTATTTCACTTTCTGAAAAGTTTTTAATTTCACTTATTAAAAGAGATGATTTACAAATGAAAGAAGTTGAAATTTGGGAGCATGTATTAAAATGGGGTCTTGCAAAAAATCCAAATCTTATTCCAGATCCTAAAACTTGGTCAGATGATGATTACAAAACGATGAAAAATATCTTACAACACTGTTTACCTTTAATTAGATTTTTCAGTTTAACATCCAGGGAATTCTCACAAAAAATTCGACCATATCATAAACTTTTGGATCAACAACTCTATGAAGAATTGTTAAATTCTTATTTGGATCCTGGTAGTGTTTTAAATGACAACATTTTACGTCCAAGAAAATTCAAGATTAAAGAAATTAAATTTGATGATTCACAAATTATTGATTCACAAATTATTGATTCTAATATTATTTCAACTGTTTCAAAATGGGTTGATAAAATGTCTATTAATGATGATAATTATAAGAAACCGTATTTACCATATAAATTTGAATTATTATTAAGAGGAAGTCGAGATGGATTTACTCCAAAAAAATTTCATGAATTATGTGATAACAAAGATAATACAGTTACATTTATTAAAGTAAAAGGAAATGAAGAAATCCTTGGTGGATATAATCCTTTAAAATGGGAATCTACCAATAGTTATGGTAAAACTGAAGATAGCTTTATTTTCTCTTTTAAAAATAGGAATATTAAGGATGCAATTTTAAGTAATGTAATAGATGCAACTCGTGCATTAGATTATAGTACTTTGTGTGGTCCACAATTTGGCCCAGATCTTACCGTAAATTCTTCTAGTTTTTTTAATATAAATGAATGTGCAAATTTTAATTTTAGTGTAATTTACTGCAAAAGGAACTATTATGAAAAAAGAATAAGAGATAATGAAAATGACTTTTCAATAGAAGATTATGAAGTATTTAAAATCATAAGGAGGTAAATGTAATAGTAATGTAATTAGTTGCCAAACAATTAGGTAGTTTTACGAGTTTTATTTATATACAAATTATATTATTTTATCAAGTCTGAAATCTGAATGAAATAAATAAAATACTATGCTACTACTATACTTTCTTAACGTTTTTTAAGGATAAAATCATATTTTCATTAATAACAGTATGTATGTACATGTAAGATGCGATAATAATGAATTAATGATACATTTTAGGGAAATTTTTGGTAGATATAATTCTTTTAAAAATATTGGATTAGTGAAATAAAACGTCATTTATGGTAAATACTAAAATTTTATCATCTAATATCCAATAGATTACCCGAAATATTTAGTATGTTCTAAAGAAATTTATAAATAAATGTTAATAAAAACAATCCTAAATTGGTGGTAAATACAAAGACAAGATCTTCGACATTCATATGAACATTAGCTAAAAAAAAAGAATTAAAGCTTTTTATCTTAGAAATCTTTTTTTTAAAAAAAATACTTGAAAGATAAGCATCACATACAAAAAAAATATTAACTTGTTTCATTTATAATTTTATTTATTATACAGCATAGTTAATCCTAGTTATTTGTTTTGTCCTAACTGGTCTAATATTTAATTTTCTTCTACACATCTAGAACCAATTCTTTCCATCCATTTTTCCTTATCCAAACCATGTAAAAAGCCTATAATGATTACTGTCATATTATCTGTGCTACCAAGTTCTAAACACCTATTCATTAAATTTTCACAAGCTTTACTCAGATCTTTATTTATTTTAATATCCTTATTGATGAAATTGATGACATCTTTAGATGACATGCAATCCCAGATTCCATCACATGCTAAGACTAAGAAATCAGTATCTGTATCGACTTTATGGGACATCACATCAGGGTAAGCAATGAAAATTTGTTCTTTTGGTCCTTTATCAGGATTATTCTTACACCTTTTAAAGTCACCGAAAGCACGGGACACATTATATTCTCCTGGGGAACTTCCTGCTTGAATTATTCTTTGAGATTCTCTAGCAATATTGGGTTTATGATCTTCAGATAAGGGTATTGCTAAACCGCCAACGCTCATAACAGCACGTGAGTCTCCAGCATTTCCAACATAGACAATTTTGTTTGGAGTTATCACAGTTACTACTGCAGTACTACCATCATTGCACTTAAAAGAATAGTTTGAACTTTCATCTTTCCAATCATCATCTGTTTGCATAAAAGCATCTTTTATAGCTTCTTCAATATTTTCTTCACCAATTTCATGAATTTTTTTGAAAATATTAAGATGCAAGTTTTTACTGAGATATTCAGAAGTATGTTTTCCTTGATGTCCATCATAAACTCCAAAAAAACTATAATCAGGAAATTCAGGAATATTACACTCAACAGTATGCTTATCTTCCATAGTTTCTCGCCAACCTTGCATTGATGAAGTAACATATATTAAGTCATGTTGTTGAAAGATACCTTCAGTAGTGTTTTTATCTTCAATTGGCTTTGAAAGATGTCCACCCATGGTTTTTTTTACGATAATTTTTAGTTTAATAACTTTTCGTTTTGTAAAAGTGAAAGAGAAAATAATAAGCGTGAGAGAAATGTGTATATAAATGAAAAATTTTTTGTTTGTCATTAGTCTTCATTAATGACTCATTATGTCATGTTTTTAATGAATCGTACGAGTTAAATATTTTACGTGATTAATGCATAAACACTTTTTACAACGCGATTGTAGAACCGGTTATGATAAAACCGGTTTAAAACCGATTAGTCATAATTTATATCATTGTTACGATGAGTAAATACAGACAATATTAATGTGTTATAACTATTAACGTTTTTTTTTTAAAAAAAAGAAAGTTTTCCATATCATTGATATCATTGATAATATGAAATTGTAATTTTTATAAGCTATAGATTAATAATAAATTATAATGAGCTGCATTGAATCAGGATAAATCAATGATAAAATTTCTGGTTTAAGAAAATTAGTTATTACATAATATTAATTAGGTAATTTGTATATTTTTACACGTGCCTTTCTATTAATACATCTATCAAATATATTATATTATCCGCACTTGTTTCCAGTTTTCTTTGATCTATTTAAATCTTGTACATAAAATTTCTTTATATAAATGAGGTTTACTTTTATTTAAATTATCTAACGTTGATAAGTTTTTAATTTTATAGCTAGGTGCATTATTCACTTCATCACTATTTATATTAATTCCAGTAAATAACATTTTTTCACGTATTCTTCTTTGTAATACAGATAGCCATTCCAATATAACACTTATGTACTTAGCTTTGCTGATCTGTCTGCAACCTCGTTTCCTTTTATATTATAAATATATATTCATATTATAATATTTTTTTTATATCTATTTTCATATATATCATATATATACGTTTAAATGTTTCATATCTTCTTTTTTATTTGTCAATAAATTATTCCAAGTTGACACTACACTTAAATTATCAACATAGATGTTAACTTTAATTCCCTTTTAGACATATTGTGATCGCCAATACTATCACTATCTGCCATCTGCTATTATTTTTAAATCATAAAATGCTAACCTTATTTGATCTTTTCGCATTCATTATCATTAAACATTTTTTTTTTTCAAAATCATCTTATCCTTTATATCTATATAATACTGCAACTTATGTTAGAAGATGGAGATAATCAAAGAAAAAAAATTACAATAAAAAATGAACAATAAAACAAGAAAAAAATAAAAATAAAAAGAAATTATTTTTAAGCATTATCCAAATCAAAATTTCAGTCTGTAAGAAGTAAGAACTGGTAAAAAAAAGGTATTAAAAAAAAGTATTTTCGATCTAAACACAAAAAAAAATAATTCGGTCTAAAAAGACTGAAAATAATAATATAAAAAAAAAATTTGGTCTAAAAAGATCGAAAAAATAATAATAAAAAAAGGTCTAAAAGAAATAATAAATTGAATAAAAAAATCGGTTTAAAAAGACCAAAAAGAAAATAATATAAAAAAATTTGGCTCTAAAAAGACCGAAAAAAAAATATTTAAGAAAAAAAATATTTTTGGTCTAAAGTCTAAACACAAAGAACTAAAAAAAAATAAAATGATTGGTCTACGACCTAAAATATTCTGCGAAGATGGGCCGAGAATGAAAATTATTAGTAATACAACTAAGCCTTTTTTTTTGTTAAAAGTTATTAAAATTTCATTAGTACAATCAAATAATTCTAACCATAATAAATATGGGATACCAATCCAAATTTTTTTTAGTCATATAGAAGCCTACAACGGGCTGGAACTTCAGAGTGTAAACTTGGATTTCATTAATTCTGGCCAATCTTTCTATTAAATTCCGGCTGAAATTTAACTTACCAGGTAAATGTTACGGTACTTTAGTTTTCAATAATAACAAATGAGTAAATGAGAATATAGTTTTTGCTATTTTTTTAAATGTTACAATGTTTATTGTGATAAGTGATCATTTTTACTGTTAAATTTGTTAAATTTGTTACTTTAATTATATAAATCATAAAACGAAATAATTTTTTTTCCAATTTTTAAATCACCATAAAAAATTAAAATAATAAAATTTAAATATATTACTAGAATATTAAAATCTTTAAATGATCAAAAATTCCGGTCCGGGCCCGGTTTCAAAAATGGCAAACCCCTATTTAGTATTATTATTCAAAAATAAATTGAAATCTTTAATTCTATTCCTAATACTTAGCCAGAAATACCCTAAATTCTTTCACTCGAACCATCTATTCATTTTTATTATTACAACTTGGAAGAAAAGAATTTTAATACGTACAAACTGTAGGCAACTATATAGCTGTGATTATGGAACGAAACAGAAAAGGTTTCCCGGGACAAATAGTTGCCTAATCTACACGTTTAAACAAAATCGTCACCAGAAATAAAAGATATAACAACTAAATAGTAACGAAAATAATCTTTGATTCTCCAATTTATTATCCACTCAAACTATCGTCGCACAAAAACAGCTAACTTCATTTTACATAGCTTACATTATGATTCGAGAGCCTTAGGAAGAAACTTTATATTCCATAATATCTCGTAACGAATTTGAATAGCGATCTTAGTACAGTAAGACAAGCCACAAATTGTGCAGATTGGTGTAACGAATTAACAAGTTTAACATTGTACAACAATAGCATGTGAAATAAATATAAATATTGTCCTTCCACAATTAAAACTTTTTTCTTTTAACAAAAATGTCTATTGAATTTTACACGAAATTAAGTCAAAATTACATTGAATTATTAAAAGATGATGAATATTATGATATTACTATTGAAGTTGGTGAAGACCCTAACGTAAAAATATTTCGTGCTCATAAGAATGTTGTGTGTTACCGTTCTCCATATTTACGACGAATTTTAGCTTCCAATAACAGGAACAGGAATAATAATACTAATGATTTAGTTCATATCAGATTACCTGATATATCATCGGAAATATTTCAAATAATTTTAGAGTAAGTTATAAAATGTCAATATACTCTAAAAACGGATAATATACAATTTCTAATATATATTTTTGTAATATAGGTATATTTATGGTGGTATTCTTTCGTTAAATGTGAACGACGCTTCAGACTTTATTAAGGTTTTGGCCGCCGCAGATGAACTTCATCTTCAAGAACTAGTTGATTATTTACAAAATTATTTAATTGAAAATGAGTCAGAGTGGATGGAACAACATTTTGGATTTACTCAACAAATTAGTTCGAAATCTAGTAATTTAGTAGTACTTCAAGAATTTTGTACAAATTTAATGACCCTATCACCTGAAAAAATATTCAAGTCTTTTGATTTCACTTCACTTTCTGAAACATCTTTAGTTTCACTTATTAAAAGAGATGATTTACAAATGAACGAAATTGAAGTATGGGAACATGTCTTAAAATGGGGTCTTAAACAAAATCCAAATCTTATTCCAGATCCTAGTATTTGGTCAGATGATGATTTCAAAAAAATGAAAATTACTCTACAACATATTTTACCTTCAATTAGATTTTTTAGTTTATCATCTAAAGAATTCTTACAAAAAGTTCGTCCTTATAAAAAACTTTTAAATAATCAACTCTATGAAAATATAGTAAATTCTCATATGAATCCTGATAGTGAACCAGTCAATAACATTTCACCTCCTAGAAATATTAAAATTGAAAAAATTATTGATTCAAAAATTGTTAATTTAGATATAGTTTCAATGGTTTCAAAATGGATTGATAAAACAGTTATTATCAATAATAGCAAATATAATCATTTAAGAGAATTATATTTACCATACAAATTTAAACTATTATTAAAGGGAAGCCGGGATGGATTTACTCCAAAAAAATTTCATGAATTATGTGATGGTATACCTAATACTGTTACATTTATTAAAGTAAATGAAACTGAAGAAATTCTTGGTGGATATAATCCTTTAGAATGGGAAACTACTAACAGTTGGGGAAAAACTGAAGATAGTTTTATTTTTTCTTTTAAAGATAAGAATGTTAAAAATGCAACTTTAAGTAATGTGATAGATGCGAATCGTGCGTTAGATTATAGCAGTACATGTGGTCCAAAATTTGGAAGCGATCTTAACATATTTACCTGTACCAATAGAAACAATAGATCAAATGACGTATCTAAAGTTTTTAATGTAACTTATTGTAAAAAAGTGCGTTACGAAAGAAATATTAGAGATACTGAAGATTATTTTTCAATAGAAGATTATGAAGTATTTCAAATCATAAGGAGATAAGTGTAATAGTAATATAATTATTTGTTGTCAAATAACTAGATGGTTTGTCGAGGTTTGTTTATACGCAAATAAGATTTATTTTATTTTTTATATCAAGTTAGAATAAATAAAATCTTATACTTGCTTAACGATTATCAATCGTTTTTTTGGTACATTTGTTAAAGGTAAAACCAAATTCTCATTAACAGTATATAAGATGTGATAGTAATGATACTTTTAGGGAAATTTTTGGTAGATACAATTCTTCGGATTTCATTAATTCTGACCGAATTTCCTATTAAATTCCGGCCGAAATTTAACTTACTACCCAGGTCAATGTTGCGGTACATAATTTCTAATTTAACTGGGCATTACATGTAAACGTAATTTAGTAATCATTTTTTTCTAATTATAATTTATTCATTATATTCGATGTTGTCCCAAATGCATCAATGTGCTCGATTACAATGTTCACATTATAGATACACTGATTCAGTAACTCTTGATATTTTCTAAAAGATAAGAAAAAATTTAAAATACCCAAATATAAATAATTGTTCGGTTAGTTTTAAATTTTTAACATAAATACTCCCGCTCTTTTTTACTTTTCCACCGAAATTACAAATGGATAATAACCTCAACCCTACTGACAACGAGCTTAATCAATTACCACCTGTTTCTCCTAATAAAAGAATATATTAGAAAAACTGATCTTGCCTCCGTCAGACCCTCTCCGCAAAACACGCAAGATTTACGGTAAAAAAATAGATTTTGGACTCATTTCAGAAAATATTTCTCCAATGAAATATACATTTTAAGGACAAAAGTCCACTCCCCGAATAGCTTATTGGGTATCGGAAACAAATAAACAAAAAAAAACACTATATTCGTTATTCCTTTTAAAAAAAAAAGTGAATTTATTTAATTAAATTAAAACAGAGTATAGAGTGTATTTATAGATAATGGTGTATTTATTTAATTAACAAAAAATTGTGAATAATATATTTATTATATTAATGAACAATAATGTACAGTACTTATATATTAACAATGAAACAATTATGTTTTTATATTATTAACAAAAATTCGTAGCGAGGTTGAATTTGTTTATTACGTAATGATCTATGAAAAATACATTTATCATTACCAGATACAGATCATTAATAAATACGTTTAAATACATGTTCTAATTAACTAATTAAAATTGTGATATATTATAAATATAATTATTCTTTCGATAAATTACCAAGCCGTCGTGGATATTCTGTTTGTAATCAACTTTTAAAGCCAACTCAGCCAACTCCTGTGTATTTCTTCTAGATCACGATTTTGACATCATGATGACTCATTTTCTTTATTACAAATCCAAAATGTAGTCACAAGGACAGATTTCAAATGAAAAATGACATCAGCTTTCAATTTTTACTCATAAGTATTGTGATCAAGACGGGCGCAGTAATCATTGATTTATTTGATTTATTTAATAGACTTATAGATTATTTTCGCGTTTTTCGCGTTTCCACGTGTATTAAGAGTATTAAGGGAAGATCTGAAAGTAGTCGATTTATAAAAGTTTGTATAACAAAAAATAATATATAAAAAGTATATATTTTTTTTAGCATCTTTTTTTTTCGGTCTTACTTTTTTCTTTCTTCAAGTTTCGTCTTCTTTTAGGGCTTTGCTTTTTTTTATGGTTGCTTTTTTTTTAGGCTCATTTTTTTCTTTCAAGCTTTTCGTATTTGTCTTAGGAGCAGTATAGTTTATTGCACAAGTGAGGCCTCCCGACTAACTTATTTCGTTAACTTGGTCTTTTCTTTTTTTTAGGACTCTGCTTTTTTTACCTTTGATTTTCTTTTTTTTCTAGCTCTTTTTCGGTCTTCTCTTTTTTAGGACTCTGCTTTTTTTCTTTCTTTGTATAATGAAATCACATGATATTTATAATTATAATTTATAATTTATTTTTGGACAATACATGTGTAAAACGTATTACTCAAGTTTTGTCTTCTCTTTTTTTCTAGGTCTCTTTTTTAGGATTCCGCTTTTTTCTGGGTCTTCTCTTCTTTTTTCAGTATTTCTTAGAAATGGTTTAAATTCTATGTGTGGGTGAGTAGGTCAAAGGTAAGTTTATTGGGTACTTACGTTGGAGCAGCATGATGCTATGCATGGGTGGGAGCATAGCATGCTTACTTTGTAAGCCTGTGAGTACCAGCTTTGCTGCAGTCTCACAGTAGGGCTGGTTGGGATTTTTTTTGGAGTGGTATAGTACTATGCGAAAGGGTTGGAGCATAGACGCTTATTTTTAGTAAGCTCGTGGGTACCAGTTTTCGCTGCAGTCCTGCGATAGGACCAGTTGGTTGTGGTACGGCATGGTGCTATGCGTAATTTTCATGGGAGGAGCATAGTGCGCTTCTTAGGAAGTCCCTTGTGGCAAGGCCGTAATACTTAATCATTAATTGTCTGATGAGAAAGTAGAAGATTTTCATTAAAAAATTTGAAAAATTAATTACAATATTTTTCCTTTTCTCTTTTTAGCAAATTCTTACCATACTCTTTTTAATTAAGTTATTTATTTAATTAATTGGGATAAAATAAATATTGAATAAATGAACGCAAATTTTCTTTTTAGTTTGACTTTTATTTATTAATAAAGAAAACCAAAAATGTGGTGAAAATGATGCTAAAAAAGATTACATATGTGGAAAATGAAATAAAATTGAGCATAATGAAATATCTTCTATAATTTTTATTGTATTTTGATTTATAATTCATATTAGTTTTCAATAATAACAAATAAGTAAATAAGAAAATAAGTTTTTTATTGACATTATTTATTTTAAATATTATTATCATGAAAAATGATTATATTTTAAATAGTGAATTGTAAAAATTTGTTGTTTTATTTAATTTTTAAACAGAAAAAAATTTTAAATATTTGAATAAACAAGAATTTCGGTCCAGGTCAAATGCAGGCCTTTATTTAATATTATTAAATTGAAATATTTAGTTCTAATCCTAATACTTGGTCAATCTAATTTTTTTCACCCGAATCATTTATTTATTTTTATTTTATATTTTGAAAGAGAATAATTTCAGTACAAATTACAGGTAACTATATACAGTAACTGTAACTGCAATTACTAGTATAAGTAGAATATGAAGCCGAAACTGAAAAAGTTGTCCAAGGACAACCGTTTTCTGATAGAAAATAAATGAGAGAGAGTATTTTGTAAGTTTAAACAAATTCCGCACCAGAAATAAATGACATTAAAACTAATGATAATTTCAGTTTTGCATGGTTTACATGAGATTTCGGCCTTGGTTTATCAGTCAACAATTTCTCGAACTGATAATTTGTTTGGCTAAATTCACTAGAACCTCAAGCTAAAGTGAATAAGTAGGTGAACTCTAAAATTACAAAATTTTTATTAGTTCATCCTAAATTATTCAAAATATTCAAAAAGAAAATTTAGAACCTTAGAAATAAACTTTATAAGGTCTTGGTAAGACAAACCGCAGATTGTAGAGATTGGCAATAAATTTGATTTTCTTATCAACTGCTTACTGTACTGTTGACATATAAATAATATTTTCTTGTGTTTATAGATTATTCACAGGTTCTTTAGCAATTATCATCAGTAATTTGCCTTCACTTTTATTAAAAATAGAATAGGGATGAATTATGAACAATTACATCCATTTTAAGTTAGCTTAATTGAACAGTCGATACAATCTATGAACTAATTATCTTTTTTCTACTCATTGAATAAAATAATTTCGGAAAATAAATGATTAATTTAAAATTGATTTATTTCATTATACAATTAATTTGTCCCTACGTGTAAAGAAAATATGTGTGTGTGTTTTGTGTATTTACATTTCTCAATAAAATCATGTTTTTAATAATGAAAAATTAGCATAATTAAAATATTGTAATAAAAAATTAGAATCTTTCTCATATCAAGATCAAATGATTTTATAATTTTTGATTTGATTCGAGAAAATACAAATAACGTGATCTAATATATTGATATGCAGTATATACGAAATCCCTGAAATTACATAGTAATTTTTATTGGACAATAAAATTCGCATATAAAAAGTTAATTAGTTAAGAAATTTTAATCTTTTTTATTTAGAATTTTATTAATAATCAATGACTAGTTATAATTACTTTTTACTTTGAAATTATTCTTAATCATTCTTAAATATTCTAAAAACTAGTCTATTCTGATTAATTAAGCCTAATCCAATTAAAATATTCACTCTCTAGAAATATTAAAATTGAAAGAATTGTTGATTTAATAATTGTTAATCTAAATATAGTTACAATGGTTTCAAAATGGATTGATAAAGTGGTTATTAACAATAATAATTATGAGAAATTATATTTACCATATAAATTTAAATTATTATTAAGAGGAAGTCGAGATGGATTTACTCCTGAAAAATTTCATGAATTATGTGATGGCAAAGCTAATACAGTTACATTTATTAATTTAGAAGGAAATGAAGAAATTCTTGGTGGATATAATCCTTTAGAATGAGAAATGTCTGACAAGTGGGAAAAACAATGTTAAAAATGCAATTTTAAGTAATGTAATCGATGCAGAACTGCGTTAGATTATAGCAGTGTATATGGTCCAAAATATGGAAGCGATCTTAATATATATACCTGTATAAGCAATAACCCATCTGCAGCTTTTGATAGAACTTATTGTAAAAAATTGCGTTATGAAAGAAGTATAAGAGATACTGAAGAAGATTTTTCAATAGAAAATTATGAAGTATTTCAATTAAATGTAATAATAATCATTATTCGCGTTTGTTTTTATTTATAAGAGGTGAAACAAATTTCATTCATAAGAGATTTTATGATAAGTTTAATGCTGTTATATTTAAAATAAAGGGAAATTCATGGTCGACATAATTCCTTAAAATGGGTTTAAAAATATTTTTAAATTATTTGTTTTAAAAAATTTATTATGTAATAATCAAAAAAATTAAGGAAAAAATTTCACATTTATTAATTTTGCTTTATTAATAACTTTAATAATATTCTGGATTATGCTAATAATATGGAATACACTTTTTATTTCCTCTTTCTCTTTTTTTCCATATCAGATATGTTTGCTAGTATTTAACGTCAATTATTTCGTGATTTATAAAATTTCAGTCTGTACTGTAGTGATTTTAATCTCGAATCAAATTTTTTTGAAATTGGCCGAAAGAACCGATAATTGATTTAATTAAAAATTCATTAGACTTAATAATAAGCGTCTTTAGTAAATTTAAAAATCACGAATTTTACTGTTAAGCAAAATTGCCAAACTATTCAAATTATTCGAGCATTAGAACCTTCAAATTATATAACTGAATTTTATATAAGCATAAATTGAGTAAATTTAAATATCAATGACCGTTAATTCTTAGGAGGGCTTTTTGCACGTGATTGTATTTTCATGCATAAGTGTGTAGATCGATTACACTTCAATAGCGCTTAAAATATATATATATTGCTTATTTCATATTCTTCATCTGCTTTAACGAAAATTGGATATTGCCATGATGTTGCTCTGCTCATGGTATGGCCCTATAATAAATACTGCTGTGCCAGACCTATTTAGTTTCTATCAGACAAAAAACGCTCATAATAGTTAACATTTTTTTTATCAAAAAAGTTCTTTTGCAAAAGTTTTCTTTATTTGAAAATAAAATATTAACAGAAATTTTCTTTCTTTAAAAGTTTATTTATAAGGTTACGGTGCGAAAAGTCCGGATACCTATTTATAATATAACTCAGATCAAAAATTTATTGTCTCCATTTTTAGACTAGTCAATTATCTTATTTTATCATGACCTTTTTTTTAGTCATTTTAAATTTCTACTAAGTTAAAATGAGATAAAAATTTTTTTAGGAATAATCATATTTTCAATTGAAATTTTTTATTGTTTTTAAAATGAGAATTATCTATCAATTGCTTTTATTAGCAACTGTATTATTAAATAAAAAAAAGCTTTGAATTTTTTGATGAAACCCAACAATATTGATTTACAATAGAAAAAAAAATTTAGATCAAAATGGAAGGTGATTTCTATTTTCATTTTTGAAGTTTTTTTCTGAAATTTTCAAACGATTTAGATTAAAAATGGAAGGTAATTTCCATTTTCATTTTGAAATTTTTTTTTTGAATTTTTCAACTTTCATGAATAGAGAAATTTTGAAAAATTTTTGAATTTTTCAAAAAAACTTCATTACAGAAATTTAGATCAAAAATGGAAAGGAATTATGGTTAGGTTGATTCAAAAACTAATCTATAAAAATAATTTACAAGCCGCAGATTGTGCAGATTGGCGTAACAAATTAACGAGTTTAACGTTGTACAGACATTAATAAATATGAAACAAATATAAATATTGTCTTTCCCCAACTTAGGACTTTATTCTTCTTAACAAAATGTCTGCCCAATTTTTTTCAAAATTAAGTCAAAATTACATTGAATTATTAAAAGATGATGAATATTATGATATTACAATTGAAGTTGGTGAAGATCCTAACGTAAAAATATTTCGTGCTCACATGAATATTTTGTGTTACCGTTCTTNAAAGATGATGAATATTATGATATTACAATTGAAGTTGGTGAAGATCCTAACGTAAAAATATTTCGTGCTCACATGAATATTTTGTGTTACCGTTCTTCATATTTACGACGAATTTTAGCTTCCAACAAAAAGAACAATGATAATATATTAGCTCACATAAAATTACCAAAAATTTCACCAGAAATATTTCAAACTATTTTAGAGTAAGTAATTACTAATTAAATTTGATAAATATACACCATATAACCTGGTAATAAAAATTGTTTACGTTCATGAAATTTTTTTATACTGTAGGTATATTTATGGTGGTGTTCTTTCATCGAATACACATGACATTTCAGATTCTCTTAAAGTTTTGGCCGCTGCCGATAATCTTCATCTTCAAGAACTAGTTGATTATTTGCAAAAATATTTAATTGAAAATAATTCAGATTGGATAGAACAACATTTTGGGTTTACTCAACAAATTAGTTCACAATCTAATAATTTATTAGAACTTCAAGAATTTTGTACAAATTTTATGGCTCAATCACCCGAAAAAATATTCAATTCTTTTGATTTCACTTCACTTTCTGAAAAATCTTTAATTTCACTTATTAAAAGAGATGATTTACAAATGAACGAAATTGAAGTATGGGAACATGTATTGAAATGGGGTCTTGCACAAAATCTAAATCTTATTCCAGATCCTAAAACTTGGTCAGATGATGATTTCAAAACGATGAAAAATATCTTACAACACTGTTTGCCTTTAATTAGATTTTTTAGTTTATCTTCTCTAGAATTCTCGCAAAAAGTTCGTCCATATCGAAAACTCTTAGATCAACAACTATATGAAGAATTATTGAATTGTTATTTGGAACCTGGTAGCGTGCCAAAATACAACGTTTTACGTCCAAGAAAAATTAAGAATAATGAATTCAAAACTCAAATTATTGATTCAAAAATTGTCGATTCTAATATTATTTCAACTGTTTCAAAATGGGTTGATAAAGTGGTTATTAATGATGACAATTATGAGGAATTATATTTACCATATAAATTTGAATTATTATTAAGAGGAAGTCGAGATGGATTTACTCCTAAAAAATTTCATGAATTGTGTGATGGCAAAGCTAATACAGTTACATTTATTAAAGTAAAAGGAAATGAAGAAATTCTTGGTGGATATAATCCCTTGAAATGGGAAACTACTGGCAAATGGTGTAAAACTAATGATAGTTTTATTTATTCTTTTAAAAATAAGAATATTAAAGATGCAATTTTAAGCAATGTAATAAATGCGAAAGGTGCAATTTTTTGTGGCGAAGTGTGGGGTCCACAATTTGGCAAAGATCTTATCATAAATTCCTATAAAATTACTTCAAATTCAGATGAGTTTACAGATTTTTGTGTAACTTGCTGCAGAAATAATTTTTATGAAAGAAATATAAGAGATACCGAAGATAATTTTTCAATAGAAGATTATGAAGTATTTCAAATCATCGAGTGATAAATTCTATCAATTCTTTATTAGGTAAATAGATAAATTTTCCAAATCTGGACTTCTTTTGACAATCATTACTCGTTTGTTTTTATTTATTAAAGGCGAAAATAAATTTAGTAATTCATGAGATCTTATGATAACAGATAAGTGTAATGCTATTGCATTTAAAAAAAAACAAAATAAGATTAATTAAAGAAAAAAGATTCATATTTATTAATTTTGCTTTATTAATAAATTAAATAATATTTTGGACCATATACTAATAAGGATAAATCTAATTGTAACAGCCTGTTACGCGTCTTATTTGTAACAACCCAATTTTATCCAAGATCAGGCGTAATGTAAACAAAAACAAAAGATCAGTCGTGTAACTAAGACAAAAGAATTTTTTAAAAAATTTCAAGAAACTGCTTATAACTTAAAATTTTGTCTATAAAACTGTCTTAAATACATTAAGTAAAAGTTTTCCAAATTAAATTTGCATATAAAAATTTTATTTGTGAAACACATATTAAATTTATTATTAAAAAAAAATAAAAAAAGGATGTTACAAATAAGATATGTAACAGGCTGTTACAAATACATTTTTTCTACTAATACAGATGGTGCCCAAAATTATCCGGCCACTTTATTTTGCCAAAATTATGCTGATAATCACGTGTTATTATGATGTAAACAAACAATAATTTTGTATTTATAATCACAATGAACAATCCTCTGCGCCACATTTCTTCTGGAACTTTCCGGAAAAATGAAACCACTTACCCCAAAAACTCGTGGCGCAATTGTTTACGGTCACAATTGTGACATTCAAGTCGCACAATTGCCAAACAACTGGGGTGTGGGAAAACAACAGTTAATGACATACTTAAACGCCTTCGTGAAACTCACTCTTTAACACCAAAAAACAAACTGGGCGTCCACCACTTCTTAACTCACCAGCTCAACAAAAACTTAAGTCCTTCATTAAAGAAAACAATGAAAATCGTCGACTTTGTTCAAAAAAAATTGCGACCACTTGGACAGCCCAAACAAAGCAACCTATTTCTCATAATACTATACGCCGAAACCTTAAGAAAGTTGGACTTACAGCCTGTGTTCCTCGTCGTAAACCTGCAATAACAGAAGCACATTGTCAGGCTCGGCTTGAGTGGGCTTATGAACATGAAAATTGGACGGAAAGAAAATGGAAAAGAGTCCTATTTTCAGATGAAAGCACCTTTACTCAATTTCAACAGGGTCGGCAGGGGATGGTATGGCATGAACCTGGGGAGGAGTTAAATCCTGATTGTATTTCAGTTACTGTGAAACACAGTCCTAGCAAAATGTTTTGGGGGTGTTTTTCCTGGAGCGGCCTTGGGCCAATTGTTCCATTAAATGGTTCAGTTACTGGCCAAACGCATGCTCAAGTTATTAATGATTTTGTTGTACCTACCTTGCACACACATTTTCCACAGGGTAATGGAATCTTTCAGGAGGATAATGCTGCGCCACACCGTTCAAGAGTTGCAACGGCCGCACGTGAAAATGCTGGGATTGTGACTCTTGACTGGCCAGCTCAGTCACCAGATATTAATCCTATAGAAAATATTTGGGCTGAAATGAAGATGATGATTTGACGTCGTTCACCACCACCATCTAGCATTAGTGTGCTTATGGAGTATGTTACAGATGCGTGGAATGACATTCCTCCTGAATATTATAGAAAACTGATCAAAAGTATGCCTCGGAGGGTTGATGCAGTTATTTCCGCAAATGGAAATAGAATCAATTATTAAATTTTTGTAAAATTCAATAAAGGAAGGCATAATAAATATGTTAAACTTAAATTTTTATTTTCATCATATTTAACATATATAAGTTTTTCAAATTTGAAAAGTGGCCGGATAATTTTGGGCACCATCTGTAAATATGGAATATAAATTTTATTCATTTTTTACTCTCGCTTCTTCTTTTCTTATGTTCACTAAATAAAACACGACATCAATTATCTCGTGATCTGAATAATAATTTCAGCCTGCACGATAGTGATTTCAGCTAATGTTAATTTGTCGACCTTGAATCAATTTTTTTCCAAGAGATCGAAAGAACCGATAATTTGGTTAATTAAAATAGACTTTCTTGAATAAAGTAAATTTTCGTTCAGCCAAATTTTTGAGAAAACAAGTCGCAGATTATGCAGATTGGCGTAACGAGTTTAACGTTGTACACAAATATCTAATTTGGTCGGATATGAAACAAATATAAATAGTCTTCCTCCAATTTAAGACTATTCTTTTTAACGAAATGCCTACTCAATTTTTTTCAAAATTAAGTCAAAATTTTATTGAGTTATTAAAGGATGATGAATATTATGATATTACAATTGAAGTTGGTGAAGATCCTAACGTAAAAATATTTCGTGCTCACATGAATATTTTGTGTTACCGTTCTCCATATTTACGACGAATTTTAGCTTCCAATAAAAAGAACAATGATAATATATTAGCTCACGTAAAATTACCAAAAATTTCACCAGAAATATTTCAAATTATTTTAGAGTAAGTAATTACTACTAATTAAATTTAATATATATACACTATATTACCGGATAATAAAAATTGTCTCTTACGTTCATGAAATTTTTGTTATACTATACTGTAGGTATATTTATGGTGGTATTCTTTCATTGAATACGCATGACATTTCAGATTCTCTTAAAGTTTTGGCCGCTGCAGATAATCTTCACCTTCAAGAACTAGTTGATTATTTGCAAAAATATTTAATTGAAAATAATTCAGATTGGATAGAACAACATTTTGGGTTTACTCAACAAATTAGTTCACAATCTAATAATTTATTAGAACTTCAAGAATTTTGTACAAATTTTATGGCTCAATCACCCGAAAAAATATTCAATTCTTTTGATTTCACTTCACTTTCTGAAAAATCTTTAATTTCACTTATTAAAAGAGATGATTTACAAATGAACGAAATTGAAGTATGGGAACATGTATTAAAATGGGGTCTTGCACAAAATCCAAATCTTATTCCAGATCCTAAAACTTGGTCAGATGATGATTTCAAAACGATGAAAAATATCTTGCAACGCTGTTTGCCTTTAATTAGATTTTTTAGTTTATCTTCTTTAGAATTTTCGCAAAAAGTTCGTTCATATCAAAAACTCTTAGATCAACAACTATATGAAGAATTATTAAATTCTTATTTGGAACCTGGTAGTGTATCAAAATACAACGTTTTACGTCCAAGAAAAATTAAAAATAATGTAATTAAAGTTGATGATTCCCAAATTATTGATTCAAAAATTGTTGATTCTAATATTATTTCAACTGTTTCAAAATGGGTTGATAAAGTGGTTATTAATGACGATAATAATAGGGAATTATATTTACCATATAAATTTGAATTATTATTAAGAGGAAGTCGAGATGGATTTACTCCTAAAAAATTTCATGAAATATGCGATGGTAAACCCAAAACTGTTACGTTCATTAAAGTAGAGGGAAACGAAGAGATTCTTGGTGGATATAATCCTTTGAAATGGGAAACTACTGACGAATGGTGTTATTCTAAAGATAGTTTTATTTTTTCTTTTAAAAATAAGAATACTAAAAATGCAATTTTAAGTAATGTAATAGATGCTAATAATGCATTAGATTATAGTCGTGGCTGTGGTCCACAATTTGGTCATGATCTTAACATAAATTCTTATGGTAAACTTAGATCTGATGAATCTACACCTTTTGATTCGACTTACTGCCAAAGGATTAATTATGAAAAAAGAATAAGAGGTACTAAATGTAATTTTTCAATAGAAGATTATGAAGTGTTTCAAATTATGAGGAAATAAATGTAATGTTAGATAAATAGATGATAATCCTATACTTAACTTAAAAAACCGTTTGTTCTTACTATTTATTTGAGGAGAAAACAAATTTCATTATAAAGATATTATGATAAGTTTAATGCTGTTATATTTTAAATTAAATGAAATTCATGATAGATATCTTAATTTTTTAATGAGTTTTATAACAGTTTAAAATTATTTTTAATTTCTTTATTTAAAAATTTATTAAAGATGTAATAATCAAATAAAGAAATAAAAATATTTATAAGGAAAAAGATTTATACTATTTTGAATAATGGTGCTAATAATATGAGTGTATGAAATGTATGAAATATAAAATTTATTCACTTTTTAATCTCGCTTTTTTCACTTATGCTCATTAAATTATTGCTGTTTTCAATTTAGTGCGATCACAGCTAGCACTCCTATAAAAATATGATTATCAAAATTTTGTGAATACCCATGATTTTTCTAAAAAATCATTTAGAAAATAGTTGATAACCTGTGAATACCAGTGGAAATTATAGAAAAATCTTAATTTTTCAAGTAGTTTACTTATACGCAAGTTTTTTAACTTTGTGTAACAATAACAGTTTTTTATAAGTAAACTACTCAAATAATTGGGAATTTTCCATGATTTCCATAGGTAATCAACCCTTTTCTAGATGATTATTTAAAAAAATCACGGGTATTCACAAATTTTTAAAAATTGATTATTTTTAGTGGTGTTACGCTATGATCGCACCAAATTGAAAACAGCGATAATAAAACGTCTAAGATAAATAAATTAACTCGTGTTTTTCAACTGTCATGTGATCATCATGTGCCACTCTGAAGTTGCAAATGTTTAACATGATTAACATAGTATTAACATGTCGAACTTAATTAACATGTTGGACATGATCAACATATTGAACATGTTAGTCATAATAGATATATTAAACATGTTGAATTTATCAGTATATGTATAATTTATTATAAATATAGGTCAATTTTCTTGTAGTAATGTTAGGGAAATAAATAAAGTTTTATTTTAAAGTTATAAAGTGATAATTTTATCAAGTGAAATCCTTTATTCGTGTTTGGAGGTATATGCCGACGTACAGCGCTATACAACACGTCTGATCAGATAATTTTGATACGTTGTTTAATACATTGTTTAATTATACACTAATAAACCTTCTGCTGCTACCTAACCATATAAATTGCTTAATATTTTTAAGCGTAAAGAACTGATACAACACAACCAACATTATATATTCATCGATCTCAATTTTTTCCAGGTGATCAAAATTTACTAATGAACCGATAACTGGTTCGGTTAAAAGTTTACTGGTTGAAATAAATAATAAATCTACAAAACGTTCAATAAATGATGAAATTTTGTTCTGCCAAATTATTCAAATTATATAAATTCACCGCTTAGCCGCAGACTGCGCAGATTGGCGTAATAAACATGGGTAGTACAATAATAGTACAACTATAGTAGGAAGAATCTTACCACACTACCCTGTGATGATTTTGTCACATGGACACGTGCTGACATGTTTGCGTTTTTTTATTATTTTTTTTTTCCTAACATAAACTTTATTAATAACATGACGATCGCAGAAACTACTCATCATGTTCTAGACGACGTGCATCTTCTAATAAAGTATCTATCTACTAAAAACAAAACCAAAACCAAAACATACAAACAAGAACACTACAACTACTCGCAACATCAAAAGAAAACAGAAATTTAACACTAACTATTTATATGCCTGATTTAACAATTTTTTAACCAAGCGTTAGCGCCAATGTTAAACCCCATCAAACTCCCACCCATAGATACTTTATTACTAACTACCCATTTCCCTTACGCATTTCACACTTCTCAAAACAAAAAAAAAACAACAACGAAAATACAACAATAAAAACTACTCTATTTCTCCCTTTCCCTCAAAAAATTCAAACAGTCACCACAGAATTAGCTAGACCCTGCAGTGAAACGTCCATCTTTTTGCATTTTATTATGTTTATGAGGGACGTTTTTTTTTTACTAGCCTGATCTCTATTTGTCACCGCATTATATGTCAACTGTACTACCACGTTTAAAGTACTATTTATATTGTGACAGGGTAGTGTGGTAAGATTACCCCTATAGTAGTACACCGATAGTCACAATTATAAATATTGTCTTTTCCAACTTGGGACTTCATTCTTTTTAACAAAATGTCTGTCCAATTTTTTTCAAAATTAAGTCAAAATTACATTGAATTATTGAAAGATGATGAATATTATGATATTACAATTGAAGTTGGTGAAGATCCTAACGTAAAAATATTTCGTGCTCACATGAATATTTTGTGTTACCGTTCTCCANGATGATGAATATTATGATATTACAATTGAAGTTGGTGAAGATCCTAACGTAAAAATATTTCGTGCTCACATGAATATTTTGTGTTACCGTTCTCCATATTTACGACGAATTTTAGCTTCCAACAAAAAGAACAATGATAATATATTAGCTCACGTAAAATTACCAAAAATTTCACCAGAAATATTTCAAATTATTTTAGAGTAAGTAATTACTACTAATTAAATTTAATATATATACACTATATTACCGGATAATAAAAATTGTCTCTTACGTTCATGAAATTTTTGTTATACTATACTGTAGGTATATTTATGGTGGTATTCTTTCATTGAATACGCATGACATTTCAGATTCTCTTAAAGTTTTGGCCGCTGCAGATAATCTTCACCTTCAAGAACTAGTTGATTATTTACAAAAATATTTAATTGAAAATAATTCAGATTGGATAGAACAACATTTTGGGTTTACTCAACAAATTAGTTCACAATCTAATAATTTATTAGAACTTCAAGAATTTTGTACAAATTTTATGGCTCAATCACCCGAAAAAATATTCAATTCTTTTGATTTCACTTCACTTTCTGAAAAATCTTTAATTTCACTTATTAAAAGAGATGATTTACAAATGAAAGAAATTGAAGTATGGGAACATGTATTAAAATGGGGTCTTGCACAAAATCCAAATCTTATTCCAGATCCTAAAACTTGGTCAGTTGATGATTTTAAAACGATGAAAAATATCTTACAACACTGTTTGCCTTTAATTAGATTTTTTAGTTTATCTTCTCTAGAATTCTCGCAAAAAGTTCGTCCATATCGTAAACTCCTAGATGAACAACTATATGAAGAATTATTAAATTCTTATTTGGAACCTGGTAGTGCGTCAAAATACAACGTTTTAAGTCCAAGAAAAATTAAGAATAATGAAATTAAAATTGATGATTCCCAAATTATTGATTCAAAAATTGTTAATTCTAATATTATTTCAACTGTTTCAAAATGGGTTGATAAAGTGGTTATTAGCAATGATAATTATGAGGAATTATATTTACCATATAAATTTAAATTATTATTAAGAGGAAGTCGAGATGGATTTACTCCTAACAAATTTCATGAATTATGTGATGGCAAAGCTAATACAGTTACATTTATTAAAGTAAAAGGAAATGAAGAAATTCTTGGTGGATATAATCCTTTGAAATGGGAAACTACCGGCAAATGGTGTAAAGCTAATGATAGTTTTATTTTTTCTTTTAAAAATAAGAATATTAAAGATGCGATTTTAAGTAATGTAAAAGATGCAAGTCGTGCGTTAGATTATAGCGGTGTATGTGGTCCAAGATTTGGATGCGATCTTACCATATATAACATCAATAACCCTGCTGCAGCTTTTGATACAACTTATTGTAATAAAATGTCTTATGAAAGAAGCATAAGAGATACTAGAGAAGCTTTTTCAATAGAAGATTATGAAGTATTTCAAATCATAAGAAAATAAATGTAATCAATTTCTTACTAGATAAATATACTGTACATTTATTAAACCAAATCTGAGCTTCCCTTAAAAATCATTACTCGCATTTGTTTTTATTTATTAAAGGCGAAAACAAATTTCATTCATTCATAAGAGATTTTATAGTGATAAGTTTTATCCTGTTACATTTTAAATTAAAGTTGAAATTCATAGTAGATATAACTCTTTAAATGGATTTTATAATATTTAAAAATTATTTTTAATTCCTTTGTTTTAAAAATTTATTAAAGATGTAATAATAAAAAAAAATAAGGTGAAGCTGATTCTTATTTATTAACTTTGCTTTATTAAAAGTAATATTTGGATTATACTAATAATATGGAATATAAATTTTATTCATTCTTTAATCTTTCTTCATTTTTTTTTTCTTATTCTCGCTGAATAAAACATGACGTCAATTATCTCGTGATTTGAACAATAATTCAGCCTGCATTATGATGATTCAGTTAACGTTAATTTGATTGTCGATCTCAAATCCAGGCGACAGATAATTGGCTCGGTTAGCATTTTAACTATTTGAAAAAACGGTTAGCAAAATCGCGGTTTTTGTTCAGCCAAATTATTCAAATTGTTCAGTAGAGTATTTTAACCTTCAAACATCATAACATCTTATATAAATTCAGTAGAAAACAATTATTTTGAACAAATATTCTTAATACTGTAATTCCAAATATACTGTAAACAAGCCGCTTAGCCGCAGGCTGTGCAGATTGGCGTAATTAGTACAATAAAACTATAAATATTGTCTTCCTCTAACTTAAAGGATTTCTTCTTTTTAACGAAATGCCTACCAAATTTTTTTCAAAATTAAGTCAAAATTTTATTGTGTTATTAAAGGATGATGAATATTATGATATTACAATTGAAGTTGGTGAAGATCCTAACGTAAAAATATTTCGTGCTCACATGAATATTTTATGTTACCGCTCTCCATATTTACGACGAATTTTAGCTTCCAATAATAACAGGAACAATAATACTAATGATTTAGTTCATATCAGATTTCCAAATATATCACCGGAAATTTTTCAAATTATTTTAGAGTAAGATAATTATTTGAAATAACACCATGATAACATATTAAGTTAATATTTAATTATTAACTTTTTTTTTTAATATAGATATATTTATGGTGGTATTCTTTCATTAGATGAAAATGACACTTCAGACTTTCTTAAAGTTTTAGCTGCGGCAGATGAACTTAGTCTTCAAGAACTAATCGATCATTTACAAAAATATTTAATTGAAAATAAATCTGAATGGATAGAACAAAATTTCGGATTAACTCAACAAATTATTTCACAATCTAATAATTTATTAGTACTTCAAGAATATTGTACAAATTTAATGGCTCAGTATCCTGAAAGAATATTTGAATCATTCGATTTCACTTTACTTTCTGAAACATCTTTAATTTCGCTTATTAAAAGAGATGATTTACAAATGAAAGAAATTGAAGTATGGGAATATGTAATAAAATGGGGTCTTGCACAAAATCCAACTCTCATTTCAGATCCTAGAACTTGGTCAGATGATGATTTCAAAACTATGAAAAATACTTTACAACAATGTTTACCTTTAATTAGATTTTTTAGTTTAACATCTGGAATAATAACACAGAAAATTCGACCGTATCGAAAACTCTTGGACCAACAACTTTATGAAAATTTAATAGATTCTTATATGGATCCTGATAGCAATCCAATTGAAAATATTTTACTTCCTAGAAAAAATATTAAATTTGATATCGATTCGAAAATCGTTAATTTAAATATTATTTCAACAGTTTCAAGATGGATTGATGAAGTGGATGTTAATTATGAATTTTCACATTTTAGGGAATTATATTTTCCATACGAATTTAAATTATTATTAAGAGGAAGTCGAAATGGATTTACTCCTAAAAAGTTTCATGATTTTTGTGATGGCAAACCTTATACTGTTACATTCATCAAAGTAAGAGGAACAGAAGAAATTATTGGTGGATACAATCCTTTAATATGGGAATCTTCACGTGTTTGGGGTGAAACTGAAGATAGTTTTATCTTCTCTTTTAAAAATAGAGATGCAGTTATTAGCAGTGTAAAAAATCCAAATTATGCAATAGATTATAGCACTATATGTGGACCACAATTTGGATATGATCTCACAATATGCTCAACAGACAAGTTGGTAAATTATAGTAAAATTTTTTGTAAGCAGCATTTTTATGAAAAGAAGATAAGGGATACCGAAGATGAATTTTTAATAGAGGATTATGAAGTATTTCAACTCATTTAATTAGATATTGCATGAGGGTATTTACATAGTGGTTAACGATCACTTCGTGGCGTTACCAATATAACGCAGATCATGAAAAAATTTTTTTATATTCTTATTACCAGAATTAGAATACTAGTAATTAAGTTGATTTGATAATTGTGGACACCTGGAATTAACTGTAATATTTATCATGTACGCAATAAAACTTTTGATGATTGATTTAATATTGTATGATGATTAGCTATTGATGAAAATATTGGTTAAATAATCCTATAGGGCGCGTGCGATAAATATGAGTGCCATAAATTTAATTATTTCTGAAATGGGTTTATTTTTTTTAAATAAAAATTTTTCCATGAATTATGATATAGTAAATCTTTTTTAAATTATTTTAGACATTCTCGATCATAATAAACTTTGAAAAGAATTCATAATTTAAATTATGCATTCTTTTTTTTTGAATTATAATTGGGCTGCATATAATGCTAAGCTGGCGCCTGACTCGATGATCACGCATTTTGTAATAATTGTTCTCCGTATTGTAATTCGAGTCAAAGTTATGAAGATATTATTTAATTTCGTTATAATTTTAACTGCTTGCATAAAGGTCAACACCATGTTTACAAGAAGTTCGATTTTTCTTTTTCAAATAAAATATAATAAACAAAGAAAAAACTTTTTGCGAATTTGAAAACAGATTACCATTATTGAATAACTAAGTAAACTAACAACCGTTTTTGAAATATGAAATATTATAATTTACTATTACGTATTAATAAACGGTTAAAACATTTTTGTGTAACAATACATTGAATAATACTACAATGCTACAATGTGAAATATTATCGTTAAATTTATATTTTATTTGTCGAATTTATTTAAATATTTAATTATAGCGTTAAATTCACGTGTTGTTTATTCATTTAGGTAATGATTGTCAGCAATTTGAACGGGTTCCCGTTCAACGATTTCTGGAAAAGTCTAGATTTTGCTGACAAATGCAGATATTTTTTACATTGTTTATTCTTAAAATTATGATATATACCGCCTAATACAACCCGTACGATCCAATTGGTCGTACAGTTCATGCAAAATATAAAAAAATTAATATTAAAGCTATAAGAAATATTTGATATCAAAGATTTGAAAGATTTGGGTATTTCTCTTACTAAATTTTTTCAATAAAGAAAAATAATTTTATGGTTTCATACAAATTTGTGTGTAACAAATTAAGTGAAATAATGATGAAATTATGCGTACGACTTAAGATCGTAAAACTTGAAACATTGATATGTATTACAATTATTTCGATCTTAAAATTGTGATTTTTATTACATAATTAACTTCGAGTAACCTTCTGTTTCATAATTATTAACAATATACCAATTATTTTTATATGATATTGTTAAAAATAAGATCATTGATTAAAATGTTCTCGAAAAAAATTGTATTAATTCATTATTTTACCTAAAACGGATATTTTTTAATTAAAATAATGCATTTTTTGTAACTTGCTTTTTTTTAATAAAAGTTTGCTGATCTTTGTATTAAAAAAGAATTTTACTGCGGCAAAACTCATTACGCCAAAATACGTCATCGTAAATCTTTACCTGTTAACCCTTCTTTTTATTTCCTTTTAAATTACTGATCAAAAAATTTTTTTTAAAAAAAATTCCTGTTAATTGGGGGTTATTGCCTTATAATTAGTTTTTAATTACCTGATTTCCATAAATAGATAATAAGCATAAAAAAAATATGTTCCGTAATATTAGGATAGTTTTTTTAATACTCCTAGTATCACGTAAACAATAAATTTGAAACTCCTACGTGCAACAATATATAAATGAAAAAATCAAAAAAAAGAAAAATCGAATTTCCCAAATTTTTACCTAAAAAGGTTATACTTAAACAAAATGTACGACCAATTTCAAAAAACTCGTGAATTACAAAATATTCAAATAAGGTTTGTAGCACGACATAAAATATGCAAAGAATGTTGGGAATTGATTGACTAAGTTTTGAATATATAAAAATAAAAACAAACAAAAAAAAAATTGATTACCTTAATTTAACCAATTATATCATTCTAAACTAAAAATATAATGATAAGTTAATCGATAAACAATTAATATTTCCAATTACTAATTTGTGAATTTTGTGTTATTATTACAATTACATAAACCTAGACCAACCCTGACCTGATCAATTAATCAATTAATCAATTAATAAATTAATTCAAGTTATTTTAAGTCACANTTTTTTTGAAACAAAAAATAAAAAAGTAATTAATTATTTTGTTCTCTCATACTTTTTCGTTATTAATTTATTATTATTTATAATATAAATATATATATATTTTTATATTACTACAACCTTTGTAATTATTAAAACGAATTAGCAAATGATATTATCGATGTTGCCATTTAATAAAATAGCATCATCGTCAATAAAAAAATTGCGTTTTCTAATATTTTTAATTTTACTAAATTTTTTATTTACAATATCAATAGCTAATTCAATTAATAGTAAAATTGTTTCAAATAATCCCTCTTCAATATTTGAAAATCCTTTATCTCCTATATTACATTCGATAAAACCTAGAGCCGTTACTATAACTATAAATCATAAACAACCAATACATCAAAATCATGAAGATGGAAAAGGAAATGTAAAAGAAAAGAATAATAATGCTGATAATACGAAAAATAATGATAATCAAAAACATCCAAAGACGCATAAAAATCCCAAGAATCAAAAACATCCAAAGAATCATAATAACCCTAAGCATCCAAAGAATTCAAAGGTTCCAGATGATCCAAATAACGATGATGGTCTAAGTAAACCAAAGGATAATCCGAATGATCCAAATAATGGTGCTAAGACGAAAACTCCTGATCAACAAAATCCAGCACCACCGGATTCAGAATCACCAGCTCCAGCTCCACCAGCTTCAGATCCATCGGCTCCAGCTCCACATCCACCAGCTTCAGATCCTTCAGCTCCAGCTCCACCTCCACCTCCACCTCCACCAGCTTCAGATCCTTCAGCTCCAGCCCCGAATCCAAATCCAACGAATTCATCACCAACATCACCATCGATACCATCAATGGATAATTATCTAATAATGCATCATAATGATTATCCGGACTTACACGTACATAGTGCAATGAGTTATCCTGATGGGCCAATAATTTTGAGATTATCAAGAAATAGACCCAATAATAACTCGTGTTATGATCCAATTTTATATCTGAGATTAGTTTATGATAATGTTACAGTAAATTATATCAATTTCACCTTTGAAATTCCTGATTATAATTTTTGTATTTATGGAGGAAAAGATTTAATTAGAATATTCCCACTTAACAAGGATCTTGATAATGGATTAAACGAAGGATTCTTTTTGGTCAGTTACTTACAAAAGACAGATGGTGAATTATATCAAGAAAATGGTTTAATCGTTGATTGGAAAGGTCAAGTTCACAGGTAAAAAAAAAAATTTTGTTTGAAGAATGAATATATCAAACATATTGCTAATTTAATTATTATAATATTTTTTATAGTCAATTGATATTGTCCTTTGTAGGAATAACACAAACGGATATATCGGAATTAGGTAAAGCGGTAGTAAATACTAATCCGCAAAATGGATTTATGTGGGTTAATCGTATCAAAAAGGACACTCTACAATGGACGAACCTTACTTCTCCGTGTGTATTTTTTTTTTTTTTTTTTTTTTAAGCATATCTTACGCTTATAATATAATCTCATAATTATTTTAATATTTTAATAGAGATAAAGATGGAAATGTAAATGTTAAGGGAAACACGAAGATGACCAATATACCGGAAGGACATAAATTCGAAATATTTCCAACTTTGGATGGAGGATATGGATTTATTACAGTGGGAAAAAATCCAAATGTAACAGAATCACAACCAAAGATACCACCGGAATTATTAGTGGTTCCATCATGGATAGTTAATGTAATATTTATAAGACCATATACGGGAGAAATAACACAACCATCATTGATTTATTCAAGAGTTGCACTGGCTATTGATATGAATATAGAATTATGTGATAATATGTATGATTCACCTGGATTAATGTGTATAATTAGCATACAACCTAATGCCGATGTTATTAATTATGTTAAAATTGGATTTTTATCAAATGGAAGTACAAAAGAACCAACCAAATTGGAGATTGATACTAATGCTTATTCGGTTGATCGTATTTATTCATTATATAATGGTGGTTACGTTGCTAGCGTTAGACTTAAGGATACTTTACCAATAACGTCAACCGGTATTATTTATTATAGTAAAGGAAATCTTTTTAGGGAATGGGATTGCCCTAGAATAGTTGGTAATCTTATCGTTCCACAGGGTACTTTCCCGAATAACACTTTCTGGATGTTTTCTGATGGTGGTTATAACGAAGTCAATGAAACCAATTCAAAATCCTTAATAGAAGATAATAATTCGGGTTGGTCCATGATGACTACTAATATTCAAAGATTAGCAATGCCATTTGATAAAGGGTATAATAATTTAAATGTTAACACAACATTGCCAGAAATCGGTGAAACAATAAATTTAGGAACAACGTTATTTAGCATTACTTATTATAAGCCAGTAGTAACATCAGTGGGTAATATATCAATATATCAATATGATATAGGCACGGGACAATTAATATTAAAACAAAGTTATTCTGCAAATACTCCATTTGCACTATTATCACAAGATAAAAAAACACTTACATTAAGTGCGTTAAATAGTACGTTTAATAATCCTGGAAAAAATTATACTGTTGTTATTGATGACAATGCTGTTAAAGATTTGAGTTTTGAAGAACCGTTATTGGGTATTTCTCCTAATTTATGGATATTTTCAACTGGTGAGTATTTAACAAGAAAAGTGTAATTAAGTTATTTTATTTCAAGTTATTAATCTGTTAATAACATATATTCTTTTAAGAGAGTGTACCGCAACGTCATAATTGTAAGTTTTATTATGATTGGTAGTTTTGATTATTAGCAATGATTGAATCATTTTTACTAAAAAATTATTCTACTCCTTTCGTTTATACCACAGCGCAAGAACATGCATTGGTTCGTTTAATGGGTGATGCATCATTTAATTTTAAGGATTTGAGTGATACACAAAAATCAAAATTTGTACAATCATTATTATCCGAATTGGCTCAATGTGTACCGGTACCTCCAAGTAGACTGTATACTAATACTCGTTTTCAATGGGATCCTGATGTCGATTCAAAGCAAATATTATTGAAATTTAAAATATTACCGGGAAAAAATGAACAAGATCTGAGCGCCGAAAATATTATTAATTCTTTAGATAATATGATTAAATATAAAGATATTTCTCCTATCTCTCATTCAATACATACTGCCATGTTAGATAGTAATTATGGTTTTGTACTTAAAAGTATGTATCATAATCTCGTGAATTTTTTTTTTTTTTTTTTTTTTTTTTGAAATTTTATTTATATATAATTTTTTAGAGAGTGTATGGGATAGATATGGATTCAGTTTATTCGCGATTGGCGCAACTTTATTATTACTTGGTGTTTTAGCTATGCTTTCTTATAAGAAAGATGACGATGTAAGTAATTAACATAATAATTATTTCTTGTAAAATGAATATATCATTGATTAACGTTATTTTATCTATTTAGGGAAATAGTTTTGTTTCATTCAAAGTATTGCTGATTGCTTTGGATTTTGTGTTGGATTTTGCTTTCGTTGTAAAACACTCTAGAGATGTTTATATTTTATATTTTCCAAGGTAACTAAACTATTTTTTCCTAGAGATTTACTTTTGATTCTCTTATAAAACATACGTTCTAATCCAAATTCTCTCCGCACCTGCTTAGTTTGCTTGCTTTTATTATTCCATTGGGCTTTAATACGATAATAACATTCTTTATATTGATAAGAGAATTATCAAATAATAAAGCATTTTATACGTGGTTTAGAACTTATCATAACGTCGCAGCCATATTCACCTTTTGTTCGATCGTTGATGTAGAATCGTTAACCATGATAAATTCCAAATTAGCTGATTTGGCTGCCTTTGATGCTCCAATTCATTCTTCTACAGAAACTTGGATATTGATAACATGTATCTGGAATTTCATTATTGAAGATACTCCTCAATTAGTCATTCAAGTAAGTAGTAGATCTTTAATGACTTGATTATAAAATGAAATTGTTTCTTTTCAAATTAACCTTTTTTAATTATTATTTATACGTCTAGATATTATATATATTTCTTTCGGTTAATTATGAAATAATTCCTTTCTTGAACTTAATATCAGCTTCTTTATTATGGATATGTATATTATGTGGTCGTTCTTATCATTTGTTTTTATATTATCAAAAACGTCGTAGAAATCGACTTGAAAATTTTGTTGTAGAATATACAAACTTAAATAATGCAGGTGGGATTAATAATAGGAATGGAAATGATCGTGAAGTTTTTGTCAATAATGGTGCTACTGAAATTAGAAGTGTAGAATATGTTTTATCACCACATTTGGAAGAAATATCACCTGCTACGATCAGACCACCTTCTTGGTGGTTAAATACAGGTACTGAATATCAACAGCATAATCCAAGAAGTGTTACACCTAATAACGGAGTTACTGATGATGTAAATAATGTTGGTGGAGAAAAACAAAATGTTACTAAAACTAATTATCAATTACTAGAAAGAAGAAGTAGTTTATATAATGGAGTATATATTGATGAAAATGAAATTGGTGTTGCTGGTCCGTCTACTATTTATAATAGAAGTGGTGGTGGTGGTAGTACTTCTTATGAAACGAATAATAATAATAGTAATGGACATGAGGATGCAAATAAAAATGGAAGTATGAATTATAGTGGTTATGAAAGAATTTTTAATAATGATCGAACGAGTCAAGATTTTGGAAATGGTCGATAAGTAAAAAATAATAATTAATATTATGAGAAAAGACTATTGTAATTTTTTTTTTTTTATTATTAAGAAAAAAATTTGGGCATTTTTTGTTACATGGGTTTATATTAGGTTGGTAAAGGTTAATGTATAAAAACTTTGTAATTTGATGATTTGATTTCCTCTTTTATTTTATTTTATTTTATTTTTTTGTAAAAAATCTCTTTTATTTATTTATTTATTGTATTTATTTTGTGTTAGTCATAATTCTTTAAAAAAAAAAGTAATTATTTATTCGTTCGTTGTTAGATGTAAAAAAAAAAACTTTTATTTATTGTATCTTTATTATATTTGTAATTTTCATTGTCATTTTTTTTTAAAAAAAAAATGAGGTTCACCTCGCTATATAATTAAAATTTCATGTTAAACCTTTCATAAAAAATGGATTAATAAGTGTTAAAATAATATATGTGTATTACAAATTGTTGAACTATAGAAATTTCAACGTTTTAATTGTAAAAAAAACAAAAAAAAAAAAATTCTAAAATACGTTGGAATCATTTTTTATCTCAAATTAGCACTTTATGATTTGAAATACTTCGTAATCTTCTATAGAAAAATCTTCCTCAGAATCTCTTATCTTTTTTTTATAATGATGCTTTTTACAAAAAATTCTATTATAATTTTCATTTTGACTATTAGGATTCTCTATATTAATATCATTGCCAAATCTTGGACCATTTCGAGAATAATAATTTAATGCATAAGTTGAATTTTCTATATCACTAATTATTGCATTATTAATATCATTATTTTTTAAAGAAAAAATAAAACTATCATTAGTTTTACCCCAACTACTACTAGATTCCCATCTTAAAGGGTTGTATCCACCAACAATTTCTTCTGTTCCTTTTACTTTGATAAATGTAAGAGTATTAGATACATTATCACATGATTCATGAAATTTTCTAGGAGTAAATCCATCTCGACTTCCTCTTAATAATAATTTGAATTTATATGGTATATATAGTAAATATAATTCTCTAAAATGAGAAAATTTGCTAATTTCTACTTTACTAATATAACCTGAAATAAATAAAATAATACTTAAATTAACTATTTTTGAATCAATAATTTCAATATTTCTGGGAAGTAAAATATTATCGGTTGATACACTGTCAGGGTCCATATAAGAATCTACTAAGTCTTCATAAAGTTGTTGATTTAAGAGTTTTTGATATGGTCGAACTTTCTGTGATAATTCTTTAGATGATAAACTAAAAAACCTAATTAAGGGCAAACTATTTTGTAGAGTATTTTTCATTGATTTGAAATCATCATCGGACCAAGCTTTGGGATCTGAAACAAGAGTCGGATTTTGTGCAAGACCCCATTTTAATACATGTTCCCAAACTTCAACCTCTCTCATATGTAAATCATCCCTCTTAATAAGCGATATTAAAGATTTTTCGGGGAGAGAAGTAAAATCAATCGATTTAAATATTTTATCAGGGGATTCGGCCATTAAATTTGTGCAAAAGTTTTGAAGTTCTGATAAAGAATTGGATTGGAAACTCGTTCGATGAGTAAGCTCAAAATGTTGTTCTAACCATTCAGAATTATTTTCAATTAAATAATTTTGTAAATAATTAACTAGTTCTTTAAGGTGAAGCTCATCTGCAGCTACCAATGTATTTAAAATATCTGAAGGTTCTTGTCTATTCAATGAAATAATACCGCCATAAATATACCTATATTGAAATATTATTAGAATTTAAGTAATTTATTTAATTAAGTTCGATTGTAAAAATAAACAAAAAGTTTACCTTAAAATAATTTTAAAAATTTCAGGTGATATATTTGGTAATTTAATATGCGATAAAACACCATTATCATTCTTTTTATTAGAAGTCAAAGTTCTTCGTAAATATGGAGAACGATAACATAAAATATTCATATGAGCACGAAAAATGTTTACGTTAGGATCTTTACCAACTTCAATTGTAACATCATAATATTCATTATCTTCTAATAATTCAATATAATTTTGACTTAATAATTTAGAAAATAATTCGGTAGACATTATTTTGCATATTAAAAAAAAAAAAAATTTAAAAAAACTTTATTTATAACGTACCTTGCATTGTGAAACGAAATTTATACTTATATGTCTAGCCATAAATTATATAATTGTACATCAAATCATCAATATAACAATATTTATTTAATTAAAATAATTAATAAACATAAATACGACAATGATATTTGAACTTTTGTCGTAGTGTATTGATTTAAAATAAAAAGTAATTGCTTTTTATGCTCATGATTTAGATCTGCAATTATAACCTAATTCCTCTTCTAAGTCCTAACCCTGCGTTCTGATACCCACTTAAAGTTTTCTTTTTTAATGTTAAATAGTACAGATTTTATTCTACATTATTGCAAACCAACACTTGTTTTGATTTCGTCCAGCCATTAATAATTTCATCAAGACGAAAATTCCAGGAGACTTAGTTCATGGTGTATAATTTCAATATTTTAATATTTCTAACTCATGGTTATAATTTGTGAGTAATAATAGGTTTCAACTTGGATCTATTATTCTGATTTCACGGGTTCGTTATTCTCATTAATTAATTCTCAAATAATTCAACATTGGTTTATTACGGATTTCTAGTGACTTTACGAACATAAAAATCTTGCTAATTTACAATCAATTTAAAGTTCAAAGTACTTGAATTAAATTAATTTCTTTCAGTTATAAGTTTAAAAATTGATTAATACGAAGAAACGAATTGTTCATTTGTTATTTTGATTTAAAAAAATTGTTTATTTTATTATTTGTATTGAAAAAGAAGTTTACTTTATTAAATAAATTTGTAAGTGTTAAAGTATTTAACGTATTATTTCCTATATAAAAAATTTCTGGAAAAAGCTCCGATAAATGATCATTTTTCTAGTTTTTATTCAAGTACGACTCGCCATAATTGATTTGGAAAAAGGTATATTCAGGAAAATAGCATTCAGGAAATCGTACTGTAACCATATTATTTTAGTAACATCTTGAATTAGATTAAGTTTAAATTTCTATTATACTTGATTGCATCGCTATATAATAATGGAATTAATTTTATAGCTCTCGAAGAAACTCAGACACGTGATCATTTTTCGAAAAATTTTTTTAAACTATAGAATTATTTCAATAATGTTTTAATTATAAAAAGATAAAAAAAAATTTTTAATACGTTCTAATTTGTTATTTAAAATACTTTGTAATCTTCTACTTTCTACCAACCTATCATGTTTAACAGTCTAATAAAAATTCCTTTCATCATGATAATGATGTATAAACTTAATTGGAAGTCTATTTTTACTCTTCCAATCTTTTAGGAATTTTTCACCCCTTCTATTGAGAAATTCCATTTATCACTAAATGAAATATTTCACAAATTATTGAACAGAGAATGTCACTAAATGAAATATTTTACAAATTATTGAACAGAGAATTATTTATAACTCTTAATAATTCATTTCCAGTGGGTAATACTTTAACTGTTGTTGTAAAATATATTACCTCAAATTGTTTACAATTTGGTCTGAGTTGAAAAGTCTTTCTTTTTCTTTTGAAAAAATTTTTGAATTATCAAATTCATGATAACTCTCACGTTCTTTTAAACATTTGTAAGTGATAGATTCACTTAACATTAACAGTTATGAAGATTTGAAACAAAAATTTTATTCTCTCATATTATAGATTGCTTGTTTATAAGATCAATAAGATCAAGATGTTGAGAACATCATGCTTAATTAATTCACTTAAGTTTTTATGGTCAACATCTATAGTTAACTTCATTAATAGAGGGCAGTTTTTGATTTCGGTTGTATAATCTTAAAAACTTAAGTGATTGATGTGAATAAATCTCTAATATTTTCCAAACAGATTTTCCTTTCAATTTGAAGATGTGTAAGATGAGAGAATTTTTTAATGTTCAAACATTTTCCCATTCTTGTCAGTCTATATATCTATTTAATTTATTATAATCTTTAATGACTGAATAATTATAGGTGAAACACACTTGAGTTTTTGTTGTAAGACTGTAGATTATTTTGATTTTTAATAAAGTTAAAGTCTTTTTATCTTTAACTTTACCACAATAACTTATCTCTAATTTAAAGATATTTTTCTACTGCCCTCTCCTTTTCACCACCACTTCAGGTTCTTTTCATGAAGCATCCATTTATTATTTTTGCTTTGCGGTCACAGGAAAGGTTGGAAAAATTTTGATTAATTTTGATTGGTTATGAACTTCCAATTAATTTCAAGCAAATACAGGTTGAAAAAAAAGATCTCACATTTGGATATTCACAAGTTTTTTTCAGTTTCTCAAGAAAAATGTTTAACGTTTATACATTTACTGAAAATCAATTTATAGATTTCTTCCAAAATTTGTATTTTGTACTATAACCCTTAACTTTTACTTTGATTAAAAATACTTTGTAATCTTCTACTTTCTACCAACCTATCATGTTCAACAGTCCAATAAAAATTCCTTTCATTATGATAATAAGGTGTAAACTTAATTGGAAGTCTATTTTTACTTTTCCAATCTTTTAGGAATTTTTTTACCCCTTCCATTGAGAAATTCCATTTGTCACTAAATGAAATATTCCAATAATTATTGAACAAAGAATTATTTATAACTCTTAATAATTCATCACCAGCGGGTAATACTTTAACTGTTGTTGTAGTCTGAGTTGAAATGTCTTTCTCTTTCTTATGAAAAACTTTTTTGAATTATCAAATTCATGCTCTTTTTAACATTTGTAAGTGATAGATTCATTTAATATTATAAATTTGAAACAAAAATTTTATTCTCTCATATTATAGATTGCTTGTTTATAAGATCAAGATGTTGAGAACATCATGCTTAATTAATTAACTTAAGTTTTTATGGTCAACATCTATGGTTAACCTTGTTAATAAAGAGTGTTTTTTTGATTTCAGTTGTATAATCTTAAAAATTTAAGTGATTGACATGAATCAATCTCTAATATTTTCCAAAAAAATTTTCCTTGCAGTTTGGAGACATGTAAAATGTGAGAATTTTTAATATTCAAACACTTTTCCATTCTTGCCAGTCTATATATCTATTTAATTTATTATAATCTTTAAAGACTGAATAAATACAGGTGAAACACACTTGAGTGTTTGTTGTAAGACTGCAGATTATTTTGATTTTTAATAAAGTTAAAGTCTTTTTATCTTTAACTTTATCACAATAACTTATCTATAACTTAAGATATT